TCGGGCTTGGGGCTTATACTATAGGGCTAATGCGACAAGTCTGAATCCCAGATGTTGTATCTTTCCTGGCTACTTGCACGTAGAGTTGCATGTCTGTCACAGCTTTTTTTGCACTACTTATACTATAGGCTCCTTTGTAGATCCTGTTTACGGTTTCTTAGCCAACTTTATCTTCTGGATCCGAAAAAGGTACTCAAACAGGAACTCCTATGGAGACTATAAGTAAAGCTGCCCTGATAGAATCCTTGTGAGCCTTGAGCAACCCCTACCTCCCTTTAACACTACATCGTAAATATTCAACCTTAGACCCGGACCCTAACCCTAAAACTACCCTAAACCCGAAATCCCAAACAGATCCTTTCAGGCCGAGATTTGTCAGCTACGAAGTGACAGCGCGAAGAAATCGAGACCCGGTCTTTGATCCATCACATAAAAGGGGTGTTCTCGAGTTTAGTCCGACAGAAGCATCAGGAGCAGGAGGAGGTTCAAGAGAAGGATGAGCAGTTGTAGTAGTAGCGGTATGAATCACGAAAGCCTTGCAATTGGCTGTTGCGAGCTTGGGGTCTAGGCTTTAGGGTGTTGGGTTGAGGGTCATCGGGAGGTTTGCACGGACATAGCGCACAGACCCATGCTTCTTGTCAGAGTAAAATTAGGTCCGGAAAACCGAAGAAAGCCTTACCCTGAGCCCTTAGCTTTAAGCATTACAGCCTGCGGCTGAAGCTTTCTGGCTTGAATTTTTCTGGTCCGGACTTCGAGGTCAGGTCATTGCAGTGAGCGCCAAGTAAAAAGCAAGTGTCAAGCCGTACATGAGTCTCCACCCTAGCCCCTGCCTATGTATCGAGGGTTTCGGCTGTAACACATTTTTACTAAACTCTGCGGAACCCTCAACCTCTTATACCTTCATCCGAAACCACATCCCCCAACTCCTTGAACCTTAAGCCTTAAACTTTAAGCCCCACCTGGACCCTGAATTTTGAGGCTTTTTATACGGAAGTCAAAATAGGGAACATGAACAGGCAGGTTTCCTAGTATATATTCTTTAAAGGGTCCAGGTAAACCTAGCTCCCAAAACCGAAACCCTGGGTCTCAAATCGCGAAGCCGCCCACAGCCACAGCGGAAGTGAGTTTAGAACGGTTTAGGGTTTAGGGTTTAGGGTTTAGGGTTTAGGGTTTAGGGTTTAGGGTTTAGGGTAACTTCCCTGATAAAGCTCTTTACACAAGTGGACCCGTATAGAAACCTGTGATGAACTCTTCCGGAAGCCTTGTGGGAACCCCAATCGAAACCTTCAGAGTACCGCTTTGCTGAAGGAAGCAGCTGGAGGACCGGGCAATAGAGTGGCGCGGATGCATCTGACTACAAGTCCCAACCCTAAAACCCTAAACTCACGAACCACAAACGGCCCCCCCAAATTCCCTGAGCCACACGCCAGAAACCCGAAACCCTAATCCGCAAACCCGCTAAACCCGCAACCCTAGCAGTGACGGCAACAACCACCGAAGCCCGGCACCCAAGAAGAGACCCTGTCCTCAAGTCCTTTAGAAACAAAAAGCAGCACACGGGGGTCTTCCGTTGCTCACGGTTTGAGGGTTGTGGGATGCTTAGGATGTAGGAGTTAGCGCTTTAGAGGTTTGGGGTTGGGGATGGTTTGAACCCGAGTCCCTCAGCCCCGTGCTAACGTAGGAACCTGATTAAGAAACCATGGGCCTATAACCCCACAACAGTAGGATTCATATAAGGAACCCTAATAAAGGCCCAAGGTTTCTTAAGCAGGTTCTTACATTACCAGGTCATGCAGCACTGCCGCAGACCGACAAAGCTTGGACAAGAAGCTTGCGGAGGCCACCCTAAGCCGCTTAGGGTTTCGGTGTTCTCTTTGGAAAGTATCCAAGGGGAACAGGAGGGACCCTTAATAAGGACCCCTAGGTAATATACCCTTAATATAGCCAGTATATACCCATTATATAGCCCATTATAGGGTAGGGGTCCCCACTAAGGGTCCCTCCTTTTCCCCTTTGAAAGTAGCAGGTCTCATGGCGGGGCCTTCAACCCTAAGCCCTAAACCCTTAAAGGGAATCACTGAGAGAAATACAAGGACAAGCCGAACGGGGAGGTTTTGGGTTTAGGGTTTAGGGTTTAGAATTCCAAAAGAGCCCCGTTTCCGAATGCGGCGCATGCTGTTGGATGGGTACATGGTCATGGACCTCATAAACCCGACAATACCACAAAGCCTCTAGTCTCTAAACCCTACTGAGAAGTCCGTAAAGCTAAGCCCCAAACCCCAAACCCCAAACCGTGGCTCTTATGCTACTTGGGGAAAGCAGGGTCATAAGTCCCCTAATCTGGCTTATAGCTATAGTTATCCCACCTTTAACCCCACTTGTAACTACCCATGAACCTCGAAGTAGGCTCTATCCTTACCTTTGGTTAGTAGGGAATGGAAGAAGGCCGCAACAGTAGTTATAATTGTACCCCATTCCTCCATTCCCTAATACCCAAAGGTAAGTATCGAGACCTGGTAGCTGCATTGAACCTTGGCTCCCAGGGTCCCAACGGTTGAGGCGTACTCCCCTCCCGGCTTAGGGTTTAGGAGATTTTGGGTTTAGGGGTTTAGGGGTTAGGGGTGTAGGGGTTTAGGATTCAGGAGTCTAGGGGTTTTGGGGTTTTGGGGTTTAGGGGTTTAGGGGTTTAGGAGTTTAGGGGTTTAGGGTTTAAGGGTTTAGGGTTTAGGAGTTTAGGGTTTAAGGGGTTAGGGTTTAGAGGTTTAGGGTTTAGGGGTTTAGGGTGAAGGCTTTTGGAGGCAAGCAGGGTGTAGGGTTTCAGAGTCCTGCAAAGCATTGAATAAGCCTTTTCGGAACCCTGCATCAGTTATAGCATTTTGGTTTTAGAAGCACTTTGGATGATTTCCCGAAACTGCAACACTAGCCTTCAATGTCTGAAGAAAAAATCCTTTTTGCGCTTCCGGGATGCTCCGCACAACCGCAAGGCCCTACCCATAGGCTCCATTGTAGTTCCTTTTTGGGGATTGCTTGATAGGGTTCTAATCTAATCTAAACCACAAGAAGGAACTATCATGTGCCCATAGGTAAACCCAAAATTTCAACCCGAACATGCTGAAGCCCGAAGCCGCACATAAGCCCGAACCTGTCAAACCCTAAAGCCTAAGCCTATCTGGGAGTTTCCGAACATTCGGGGTAATTTATTTTGGGTTCCTTATGCCTTATAATAAGGATCCTACTATTTAGGGTATTATTTTAGGGTCCTCTATTTTCGGAAGCTCCCATCTAAGCCTGGTTGAAGTCGTGGGCTCTGTTTCTGGTGGCAGCTGCAGGCGGAGCGGCGAAATGTGCGGCTTAGCGAGGAGCTGCAGGAGTCTTCCAGACAGCTGCAGGACAGCCGTACTTAAAGGATCAGGGAACTTAGTAACTTGGATTCCTTAAGGGTCCCTTAAAGGGTTCTATAGGGGATCTTTCGGGGGCTGAGTATCCTATCTCAAGAATCATGGGATTTAGTAGCTAGGGTTGCTACTGTGGCACTGGTTGATATGTTCAATAACTACGCATTACCGCAATTAAGTTACTTGGACACCTTACCCACTAAGTCCCATGATCCTCCAAGTACCCTGACTTCGGCAATGGGAGATCTTGACGCTTTTCAGGGTTTCTCTGGTTGGTCTAGGGTCCGTGTAGAAGCTGTTGAGCTTGTTTTCGGCCTGTTGATTAAAGGAGAGCCCCAAACCGTAAACCCTAAACCCCTAAACCCTAAACCCCTAAACCCTAAACCCTAAACCCTAAACCCTAAAACCCTAAACCCTAAACCCCTAAACTCTAAACCCTAAACGCTAAACCCAAACAAGGGCCTGGCCTTATAGGACCAACAGATCCGGGTGCTGAGTCGAGGTTTTTGAGGATCAGGATGGGATAGTTTAGGGTTTAGGTTTAGAAGCCAGGACCTAGAGTAGGCCCTTATTCCCTTTTTTACGGGTTAGGTTCCCTTATAACCTCATTTAAACCAAAAAGGGCACCCTTTTTATTCCTAGGTTACTCTTAGGTCTAGGAAGTGAGAGTTGTAACATTTAGGGCTCGGGGTGTAGAGTTTGGGCATGGGGTTCGGGGTGTCGCCTAGAGTTTAGTATATATAGTTATACGATAAAGGAGCCCAAAACACTAATCTAATCACTAGGGCCTCTATGTTTTACTTGGGGCTGCTAGCACGGAGCCTGCTTTGAGTTCTTGCTGGGGTTCAGGGTTTAGGAGGGTTTTGGGGTTTTGGGGTTTAGCGTTTTGTAATTAGGGTTCAGCAAGCCGCCAGGTTGCAATACAGGGCTTCCGATGAACAGTGGAGCCTTGCCTAGAGGCTTGAGATGCCAGTCTTGATTATAGAACCTTGGGTCGTGGATCCCGAGTAAGATAGGGGCCTTAATACTTAATAAGTACTTATTCTGTTTTGGGGTGTTCCTCATTGAATTATTAAAGTATATTGGCCCACAAAACCCTCTTCAAATTATTAAGGCCACTATATTATTTGTGTGCTAACCCTAAACCGGAAAGGTCCCAAGCCCTAAGCCCCTAAACGCTGCCCAGACGAAGCCCCACATCCCAAGCCCCCCAACATTCCCCCAAGCCCAGTAACCCAAAACCCTGAACCGCAGCCCCTTTGTTGGATCCTCTGCGCAGGAGCTCAGGGAACTCTTTGGGTTTGGTTCAGGGTTTAGCGGTTTAGGTTTTAGGGTTTCAGGGTTAAGACTTTAGGGTTTTAGGGACATAATTGAGGCAAAACCTGGCAATTGTCAAAATTGAACCTGCAAGCATGCTGGCGTCTTGTCGGAGGATCGCAGTCAAGATTTACCTTTCTGGGAGCCCAGACCCCCAAAACCGAAACCCCGAAGATAAACCCCTAAGCCCCTCCTGAATCTCTAAACCTTCGTAATCCTAATTCCTAGGCCCTTAAAGCCCAGTTCCCAAGCCCTAGGCCTCCCACTACTCCCCAGGACCTACAGAGCATGCTCCGATCCGAGCGCGGGAAATCGCAGCAGTTGGCGCTGCAGCTGTCTGAGGCTCGCCGTGCCACGGAGGAGAGCAGCAAGGAAGCAGAACGCCTGAAGCAGGCCATGATGGAATGCCCGGTGTATGGGGTCAAGTTACAGCTAGGGTGTCTTTAAAGCTAGGGGGTTTGGGTGTTCTGGGAGTTTAGGTGTGAATCCGGGGTGTTTGGCTTTCAGAAGAGGTTGGGGTTGAAGTTCGGGGTTCAGGGTATGGAAACCTGGAAAAAGTAGTATACTACGGTTGATGATATAAATCCTGCATTACCCATAATAAGGAATATACCATAATTCCCATAGTTTAGGGTCCTTAAGGTAATGCAGGATTTTTATCATCAACAGTGGTATCCGCTTAGTCAACATTCAATTTGCAAGGCCCCCTAAAACCCGAACCTTAAACTGCAACCCTAAACCAGCCTACAGTCGAAGCCCAAAAGCTGGAAACCCAATAGCCTCAATCCTTAAGAGTAATGTATAAGTATAAGGGATCCCAGCACTATGTGGCCTTAGTCCGGTTTCCAGCTTTATGGGGTTGACTGCACACTACATGGGCTTAGTTGAGGTCGGAGTTGAGGGTGTTTTGGAAGGCCGAGGTCGAGGCACGTTCTAGACGTGCCCTGGGCACGGGGACCGATACGGTTGATGATATAAATCCTGCATTACCTTAATGACCCTAAACTATGGGAATTATAGTAGATTCCTTATTATGGGTCATGCAGGATTTCTATCATAAACAGTGCCGTGTAAGGTTTGGGGGATTTAGGGTTAAGGGTCTAGGTCAGCATTCCAGCCACAACAACGAGCTGCGTTCCCAGAGCCTCCAAAACCCCTTAGTTAAGGAATATACCTTAAATCATACTAGGGTCCATAAATATAATTTTACGGAATATACCTTAAGTCATAATCGGACCCATCATGTAATTTAAGGTATATTCCTTAACTAAGGGGTTTTGGGAGACTCTGGGTTGTTGTACTGCTCGAACTCTCGCACATCGGACATCAACTCCCGGGATGAAAAAGCCAAGGTGGACATGCACCGACCCACTTAAAGTAAAAGCCAGAAAGTTGGAATATGATTATCCTAAACCCTGTATGGTAAATTATCAGGTATCCTACCCTGAAACCATATTCCAACTTTCTGGAGTTCCCTTTAAAGCTTCTTTAGTAACTTGCAGGGTTCCTTCAGGGGTTCCGTAAAGGGTTCTACGAGGGCTCTATAGATTTAGGGTTTAGGGTCTACTTAAAGGTTCATGGGACTTAGTAACTAGGCTTATACATGAAGGGGTAACTTTTCCCATGAGTAGCTATACTCCCAGTTCAAATGCTCATAACCTTATTAAATCCCATGAACCTCCAAGCTAGGGCATTGGATAACTTGGATCTTGCGAAACCCTGAACTCCAGATCCCTAGACCCCAAAACCGGGTTCGTACACCACTCGAAAGAAGGGAGGACCAGGAACAGTGAACACAACACTAAGCCCAAAACCCTAGAATCATAGATGTGGGTCTATAAACCTATAACAAAAGCCTGAAATTGCGCCTTGCCAGGCCCAGACGAGCGAGCTTCAATCGGCCGCCGAGAAGTAGCCTGGCTAAGGGGTTGGGGTTCAGGGTGCAGGGTATAGTATTTGGGGTTTGGGGTACAGGGTTAAGGGTAAGTAGCCTGGAAGGTCTTGAAACGATGCGTTCGGGTTCTGAAGAGCTTTCTTGCGGATTTTCAGGGTTCAGGGTTGCTGTGGTTCACATGGAAGTGAAGGTTTAGGACGTCAGTCTAAACTATAACTACCTTGGTGCTGACCGAAGCAAACTCAGGTTCGCTTATGTAGAACGGTCTGCCTGCGCAACGGCTGCTATGATGCTGATTGCAGTTTCTACAACATACGCATCTTGTTGCATTAGAGGCATACTAAGACTATCGGACGCCAACAATCGAATAGGTTCCCACTTAGAGTTATTACCGGTTACTACTATACGACACTCTACGGTCTATGTAGATACCTAGTACAAGCGCCCCTGCCGCCGGATAGGACACAAAGCAACCGAGTACTCAGAAGCCCGGGCGGGCCTGTACGTACAGTTCATTCAGGGTTTTAGGGTTTAGGGTTTTTGTTTAAGGATCCGGAGTGGGGGGCCTAAGTCCACTTGTCCTAAAACCCCACACTTTACTTACTCTACACCCCGCAAACCCCTTTTAAACCTGAGACAGACATGTCTACAATTCTGAAGCTCCCAAGCGTTAAGAAACCCTAAACCCAAGCCCTCAATCCAACCCCCTAAAGCCCAAAGCCCTACACCCTAACGCTAAACTCTTAAACCCTAAACCCTAAGCCACTACGCCATGTAAGGCTGAAGACCTTGCGGGAGGAGCTTTCCCAAAGAAGCGAAGCGGCCGGTGAGCTGGAAGCAGAGAGGGTGAGGTCGCAGGACCTCCAGTGCCTCAGAGAACGTTTACTACGACAGAGTTTTTAGGGTTTAAAGGATTCATGGTTAGCGGTTTGGGCCATTTGAGGTTTTAAAAGGTTTCGTGCAATTATTTGGTGATGCAATCTGGCGTTTATGGGGCTTCAGTTTGTGGTTTCCAGCCAAGGTCACAGCTGGATAAGTCCCAGGACCGTCACAGGGCCTTGGACAGCCAGGTGAGCCGCTTGAAGGAGCGTGCTTGGGTCAGGGTTGCGATATAGGGGCCTTCGTACTATGAAAAGGGTGACTGCAAAGGTTGCATACAAAAGGTGTTACGTGTCTACTATAGAGCCTTACGAGCTAAACAGTGGCTATGAGGGATATTTCATTAGGTGTCGCTATGGCTTGGTTTTCATACGGGCTTTGTGTCGGCCTTCGATGCCAGTCAGAGCAAATTTCAGTAATATCCACGCCTAGCATAAGAATATACCCTCAATCATAAAACCCTCGGAACCCTTAACATTAAGGGAACATACAGGAACCTGGGGAAAAACATTCGAGGAAGCCTGTTCTAAGTGAACAGAAGGTAGAACCCCTCAGCCCCTAGGCTCAAGGCCCAAGGATTTCTCGGATCCAGGTTCAAGCTTTCCAGGGTTTAGGGTTTAGGGTTATATAGGGTTTAAGGTTTTATGGTTTAGGGTCCATAAACCAAGGTCTTTTGAAGAATCGGTGAACCATGTCCGAAGCTCCGTCCGGCAGGGAGCTTGTTTCAGGATTTGAGTGCAAGGTCCGAGGTTTAGGTTTGGGCGTTGGAGTTTAGAGTTTGGGCTTGGGGAAAAGGAGGGACCCTTAATGGGCACCCCTACCCTATAATGGGCTATATAATGGGTATAATGGCTATAGTATGGGTATATACCTAGGGATCCTTCTTAAGGGTCCCTCCTGCTACCCTTGGAATTTGGGCTTGGGGGAGATGGATCGAATATCGGGCCGGGTGCTTGTAGCATGTGCGGGTCCACAGATAAGGGGGTTTCCGAAAATTAGGGATACCTTATTTGGGGTCCTTATAATAAGGATCCTACTATTTAGGGTACTATATTGGGGTCCCCCATTTTCGGAAACTCCCATAAGGGGTGAGGAACTTAAGTTGCATCAGCATCTTTTCTCTTTGAGACGGGTCCTGTTGATTCTCAACGCCGTTTGAACTATGCCAGTGCCTCGAAGGGTAACACCGGTTCTGAAGCCGTCCGAAGCCTGAGATGCAGTTTATCTAGGGGTATAGGGTATGTTTGTCCATCCGTCTCGCTATTCGTCTATCCTAAACCTCCCAAATCTCAAAGGAGCAATGAGACCTTACCTTGAGGCCCCGTTCATAGCGTTAGCCAGACTGCCGCTGGACCAGTTCACTGGCAGCATCTCTAAACCCAAAAGGGAGTTTCCGAAAATTGGGGGGGGGGTTACATGATCTTGGGGTCCTTATAACGAGGATCCTACCATTTGGGGTATTATACTTATTGGCTGTAAACTCAACTTCTTAACTTTTGAGGTTCTTATAAGGTAGTCGATTCTGAAAGTTTCAACTTTTATTTCCTTGGGTTTTGGGCCAGTGAGTATATTGGGATCACCTACTTTCGGAAGCTCCCAGAAAGTCAATCAGACCCTGAAGCTGCAGCTACAGGCTTTTGTAAGCCATAGAGACTAGGATTCAGCAAAGCCATAGCCCTACCCTCCTAATTTAAGACCTAAGCCAGGGCTTAGGAAGTAGTATAGTCAGGATACTAAATCCAAAGCCCTGAAGGTAGTACAGTCATCACCTGCGGCCTAAACGCAAAACCCTACGGCATTTTCTTACTAATATAGGGACCGAAATGATTACCCGTACTGTTTTGGCGGCTCCTTAATACAATTATAGTAGAACATACCCCCCAAAAACCTATTCTAATTATTAAGGCCCCTATACTACAGAACCCCACTGTAGATCCCTTATTATAGAGCCCTTTGAGGAACCCTAAACCCTATAAGCCCTAACCTTACTACCTAGACCCCCCAACTACCCTCTAATATGTCCCAAAAACCTACAATTAAGGGCTATTAGGGCTCCATTAAAGGGCCATTGGGGGCCCCTTATGCCGGCCTTTAAGGAACCTTAAACCCTAACCTCTAAACCCCAAACACCCTAAACCCTTAAACAGGAGCAGCTGGACCAGTACAAGGCTGAGGCTTCGTCTGCTCGGCGAGATCTGAGCGCAGAAGCCCTGGCTGCACGCGAGCTACAAGCGAAGCTATCGGCGGCTCTTTGGAAGCAATAGACTTAGGGGTTCTGGGTTTAAGGGTTTAGGGATGTAGGGTTTAGGATTTAACTTTGTGGAAGCACTACAAGCAGCAGTAATTACTCTTAATCAGCAAAGTATATTTGCGATACCTTAGTTGTGGAATCTCAAGTAGTACCGTCTGTACGATATCGTTGACGAGCACGAATGTGTTGATCAATCTCCGATCACCGGAGTATTCGATTTGTTCGGCCTGATGTAAGTCTCAATGTAGGAGAATGTAAGAGGATTCTTGTGTCGGCATCCGCATGCATCCAGAGGCGCAGGAGGCGCACCGGCAAGCCATGTGGGAAATGGAAACGTCTCTTGAGCGCGAGCAAGCACTGGTGGGACTGGCACAGAGGGAGCTTGCTTTGGACCGCGAGCGGATGACGAAAGCCGCTGCTGAGCAGAAGCAGTTGTTGAAGGAGGCCACCTGCCAGCTGCAGGAGAAGGAAGAGAAGCTTGGCAGCAGAGACAGCAAGACTTGAAATTTTGGGGAATTAAAACGCTCTACAATACCAAAGATCCTTTATCCCCTTGAAGAAACTGGACAAGTAAGGAAGGATCGTCAGAGGCAGCAGGTTGAGGAGCAGCTGCAGGGTGAGCTGTCAGCCAAGGAGGCAGCTCTTGAAGGGCTCAGAACGACCAGCCTCCAGCAGGAGGAAGCAGCCCGGGCGTTTCAGGAGGAGCAACAGAGGACGGCTGAGGAACATGAGTCTCAGAGACAGCTTTGGCAGGAAGAGCGCACTTGCCACGGCCGCCAGGCACCTTGCGGACCAAATGAACACCCAAAAATAAGCAATCACCCAAAAAGCAATCATGATTCCTACCCGATGCAGGTTTTACAGTACATTCAGTACATGACGCACTTACATGACGCCTTGAACTCCAAATCGTACCTTTTTCGAAACCATGTGGTCCCTCAAGGCAGATGAGCTCATGAGCCAGATCCACGCGCTCATTGTGGAGAGAAGTCGCCTCGCAGACGAGCTGTCGTCCTTGAGCGGAGAACACCTGCTGCTCCAGGAAGAGCTAAGGGAGGTTCGCCGAAAGGCCCTGCATAGCCATTGCTTCAAAGCACCACAATCAAGCGGTCGAAACGGGACGTGCTATGTATGCATGTAAATATTTATGAGGAGTATGCTGGTGTGTATGTTTGCATGCATGCATGTATGGACGGACGGAGGGATGCATGTGTAGATGGATGGACGGACGGCTGGATGGATGTGTGTCTTTTTATGCAGGCATAAGTGCATGTAGATGTACACATACATGTATACAGCTTTTCTGTATACAGATATGTATAGCATGAACACGAATATGCATGTGTAATGTGCGTGTGCATACATGTATGCATACATGTATGCATACATAGATGAAGATGCTTATGTACACGAGAATGTATACGGGTATAGGCCGCAGCCTTTCACAACACTATTCCTGGGGTTCTTTGTTCTGATTGTATTATACATATAAAAGGAGGCCAAAACCCTATTCTGAGTATTACCTGGACCCCCAAAGTATTCGGAATAATAGCCTTTTGTAGGTTTTGGGCCATTACTTTACCTACTTTTGAGGGTCTAGGTAGGGCCCCTGAATTAGCGCCACAACAACTGAAACCCCGAAGCGAAGAGTCGTGGAGCCGCCTCCCGGAAGGCAAGCAGCGACGGGGACCTCGCAAAGAGGCAGCTGGCCGAAGCAGACTCTGGGCCTTCTTGAAGCGCTGTAACCCTTGCAGTAAGGGTTTAGGGTTTAGGGTTTACATTAGGGCGCTTTTTTTCAGGATCCCGATATTCTTAGGCGTACTTAGAAATACTTTTTAATTTTTTGTTATTATAATCCCTAAGAAACAGCTAACATCACAATTTTTGCTAGGGCTCTAAGTTCAGTATAGTTGAAGCGCTGTAAGGGTCTGCGTCCCTGAAAAGGTTCTAGTAAAGGGTGCATCAAAGAGCCTCTCTGATGTAAGCTGAGACGACTCGGTAGATGCAGGTTTGTCATAGGCTTGAATGTTGAATAACCTTTTTCTGGCGCTTTTGTAGTCTACTGCCCTAAACTCTAAACCCTAACCGAGGCCCTAACCCCTAAACCCTACTACTTACACCCGGCTTGCCATGTCCCATGTTGCTCTAAGCAGGAGATCTATCTCGGTATCCAAAAACCTCTGCATGTATATATACACTTAGGGTTTAGGGTTTAGGGTTTAGAGTTTATGTATATATATATATATATATATACATATGTGTATATATATAGACATAGACATAGATATGCGTATGTGTATATCGACATGTAAGTTTTATCTATATCTATACCAGCGTCTGTTTATTTGTGTCGTTCTGTTTACGTATACATGTAGTACTATATGCAACACATGAACAACTATATAATGTATCTATACAGGTATATATGTATTCTACAAGTGTGTGGGTATATATACACACACATATACATATATACATATATACATATATATATATATATATACATATGTACATACACATGTTTACATGAACATGTACCCCTGATTACGCAGCTCAATTACGGTTGTTGATCAGAATCTAGGACCGGGCAAGGGCCGACGACGTGGCGGCAGTGCATGTGCAGTTGTCTCAAGCTGGTTCGCACCTGGCCCAACGGGCAGCTTTGGCCATGAGTAGGCTTTACTTATAGTAATACAAACGACAAAAAGGAACTGCAATGGAGCACATAGGTAGGGTTTAAGACCTACAGCAGCTCAGTCGGATTAGGGGCATAGAACTTATGTTTTTGGGTTGGTTGATTTAGGGTTTAGGGTCGAGGGCTTAGGATTTGGGCTTGGGGTTCAGACGTTGGGTTTGGAGGTTCGCATATTATTACAAGTACGATTACTACTAATTAGTGTTGTTATGATTACTAGTAGTACCAGTACTATTGCAATCTGCGACAAGTACTAGTAATTCCTAGTACTGTCTTTGGTGTGTTTTTGTGTCCTTGTCAATGAAGACCCGCTTTTTTGGAGCGTGTTGACCCGATTGAACCTGCAATGCTAGAGGCTTTTGCGTCCTGTACGCTCAGCAGACAGCCAAGGAAGAAGCTTTCCAACAAGCGCTGCAAAGGAAGCAGGCGGATCTGGAATTGTTAGCCGAGGAGACTCGGCTTTGACATATGGAGCGAGTTATTTTACGTAACCCCTTAAGTAGCCCTTAGGCCCTACGCCCCGAGATCCCTTCTCTCTGCGTACATGCGTCGCAACACATCCAACCGGTCGCAGCTCCAATCTCAAACTATAGCACAGAGCTTCGAGTGGATGGTAAAGGTTTAGGATTTAGGCTTCATCATAGGGTTTAGGGTTTCGAGATGTAGCTCTGGCTCCAATTACCACATACCACCACCTGCACAAGCTACAGTTTTGCACTGCTTGGGGGCTGCAAGCAGAGCCCCAAAAAACTCCTTGCATGAGCATTCGCGAGGATGCCACAGCAGAAGAGCTTGAGCCCTGATTCCTATATAGCTACCACATCCGCAAATTTCTCCCTAAACCCCAAACCCTAAGCCCTAAGTTAAACCCTAAACCCTCATCGCCAGATCCTGAACCCCTAGATCCCAAACCTACGCCATGAACTAAAGGGTCCGCGGCCCGGAAAACCTACAAACCCTGAGGTGCACGATGTAAAAGCATGTGGTTTAGGAGTTTAGGGATTTAGAGTTTAGGTTTTTAGGGGTGTTCAGGGGCCTGCTAATCTCTGATGCCTGTGAGAACAGGCACCTACTTGTAGTTCTTTGGGTGTTTAAGTGCATCTCTTTATTCCAAAACCTGAGAAGCTCCGCTTAGGGTACACTAAAACCCCGTAGAACTCATGCAGAGTCATAGTAGACCTGGAAACTCAGGAAAACTCAACTCTCCAAGCAGATCTCCTCGCCCACAGGGAGAATCTACAAGGCCGAGCCCTTCCTATGCAGGGCATAAGGCTTCGGTAATGTTGTGGTAAGCTTTACAACTTGCCACCCATAAATCCTTGGAAGTGTGGGACTCACGGCTGATAGCTGCGATGGTTCCAGGCTTCTGACACCTCAAACCCAATTTTGGCTGCCGAGTCCTGCATTTAGCAATTATATTTATGTGGCTGAATTTTTGGCCGGACCCTAACCTTTGCAGCATTCAGTCTGCCCTCCACAGACCCAGGACTCGGTTCAGGCTTCATGCGGTTTTGGAGCGGAAACGCAGGCGTTTCAGAGTTCAATGCCGCAACATAATAGGGCCGCAACATAGACTCAAAATAGTTGTGTCTCAACGTGAGGACCTCTGTAACATGACGGACCAAGTAACCCCGGCCATACTACCTCTAGCATTCCTAGAGAAGCCCGTCAAAGGCGGACTGATGAATCGGTGAAACCGTAAAAATGAGTCCATCAAGAGAACTTCGTATTGATCCGTGAAAGAGCCTCAAAACAATCTGTAAGGTTTCAGAAACACCATGAAGCCCTTAACCCTTAACGCTAAGCTCTAAACCCAGAGTCCGCCCCTGAACCGTTCAAACCTATACCTCAAACCATCAAACAATAAACTGCTAAAAGGACAGCAGAAACCGAAACTGAGCACGCACACGCCACAAAGACCCACCCAAAGGGTCCTTAGTACCTATATGGGGTCTTCTTCTTAAAGAAACCCTACATTCTACTATATAGGTACTTAGGACCTTTCGGGCCAACGAAGCAGGCAGCTTGGTGGCCAAGGAAGGCTTGAAGAACGACTTGTCAACGACACGGCACCAGCGACAGGAACAGGGCTTCCACAAGGTTTAGGGTTTAGGGTCTAGGTTTTAGGGTTTCCAAATGTCGTTTTGATGGTTTATCAGGGGAATGAGTTTACTTTGAGATTTGAATGGATTGTAAGTTTGTCGCAGTTCAGCCAGTACCAAACATTTTTGAAAACCTAATTAAAGCTTTAGTGAACCCTGTCCCCCAAACCCTAGAACCTTATCAGAGAACAGCCAGGTATAGTGTGAATCCGTGTGAATCCCTAAAGAGTGGAGATTTGGGTTCGATAGCGAAAGGGGCCAACCCTGCACTCAGGGTGTAGGGTTGATAGGTACTCGTGTTTGGGACAGTCGTGCTGTGGGCTAGTATTTTGCCGAGTAATACGTACGTTTGGAGCGTATGGTTCGAGTAGTTGGCGGTTTAAGGGTTTTCGGGGTTTGGGGTGTAGAGCTCAGCACAGACTTTGGTGGCCTTTGAGGCTAGGGTTTAGGGTTCAGGTATGGCTTAGTTATTAAGGAGTGAATGACCCTTGTTGTCGATTGCCAAGACTGGTTCCACGGGGTATTACACACAACAAATCCTGAGCCCGCCGGGGCGTGCGCCTGAGACGAATCTTCCACCAAGAAAGGACACGGGAGATGCTCGGCGCGAGCTTCTTGTGTAAAGAACGGACGCAGGGACCTCAGCTCCATGCAGAGATGCGACCCCCGGCGGCTTGAGCAGCCCTCAGGTGAACGAGCACCTTCACTGGACCAAAGAGGATCCTGGGGCCGCCAGCACCGGTATCTTCCAGATTTAGTTCATCAATGCGGACCACCCCACCTCTTCCTCACCATCGCGCCACACAAGTTCACCTTCCGTTGGCCTCGGTGGCTGGAAGAGCTCCCTGCACGAAGAGTGGTGTAACCCAGCTCCCGGGAGAGCAGGTCCCGATATCCTGGTTCCAGAACTTCCGGGCAACTTTTCTGGAAGACGCCATCTGCGCGGAGCTGCGTCCTCGACACGCTGAGCTCAGCACCCTCGCGGAGAGCATCCAGCGGGCCATCAAGGGGGCGATGAGCCACACCGACGTCCGGGAACCAGCAGTACGGTGCAGGCAGCGCCAAGTGGCAACTGCACCCATGGCACACTTTGGACTTTGCTGCCAAGGCCCTATACCGCTGATTATTCCTGATGTCAGTGTGCTGCCACTCGGACGTCCAGTGGTGGGATGCAGACTCGCAGCATGTACTGTCAAGAATAGGACACGGCAGCCATTTTCACGCGCGCTCGCACCGGGCGGAAACAGCATCCAATGCTCTTCATTAAGGTTGGAACCCTACGGGGTTATTACAATAATTGGCCAGAGTGGCCAAGCAATATGCCACGCATTGCAACCTCGAGTGTGCATGCTCGACTCTTCCCCGGTGCCTCATGAAGCTCCATGAGTAACTCATGCAGGCCAAACACCATGTCCGCCAGTCAGAAAAAAGTCGTGCTGGTAGAAAAGTTCTGGCATGGCCTGCCAAGTTCGACGAGATTGCGAGAAAGATCGAGGAAGGCAGTCCCGAGCCAGGTGGCCCTGGCAACGATGGCGGCCTTCCTGAACGGCGTCCCGGCGAAGCTGCCACTGCACTTGGCTCGGGTCACAGTCTTGCCTTGCACACATGGCTGGAACAAGAATCAGTTGTGTGTCTGTGCGTCCGCATGTGTAGCTGGTCGTGTAGTGAGTTTCTACTGTTACCAATGCTTTAATGCTGCTTGGCCAGGCACACGTCTTGCGATAATTTCTGCCGTGGCACGCTGGTTTTGGAGCCGACTCCAGCTGCAGAGTCAGCTTGGAGCAACTACGGCTTCAAGGAGCGGCCTCCGTCGAAGACACGAGCCAAACGCCTGCAGAACCGAACTGCAGTGGTTACAACATGCCATGGTCCTCCACAGACCCTTTGTGCCTACAATGCAACACTTTATCGAGCTCGGGCAGCTCGGCTTTAGGACTCGGGTCTCGGAAATCAACAGATGCTCGGCGCTGAAACCTTTTCAGAGGCAAGGCGGTAAGCAGATAGATATATACTCCGGTATGTATATAATACCTACATATATGTATATGACGTGCGCTCTATACTTAGCCAAGCGCTCTTGAAAGTAGGTGCCATCTATGCCCGACGTGTCCTGACATGGCAGGCGAACCTTGTGCGTAAACCTCGTTGAAAAGGTTGAGTGTAAAGTGCAGCACCGCACTCAGGTTGCCCGCCTTGCAGCAGGCCGAGCGGCTGCAGCAAGCGGGGCTGTGTGTCTATGCCGTCACAAAAGAAGACTCGGAGCGCATGCGGGAAGGCGGCGCATGGGCTTCGGGAGCCGCGGTGACCATGAAGCTGACACGCACTTGGTACTGGTCCAGCCGGACCTTCGCAGACCCCGGTCTCGTGTTGGGTCCGATTGGTTGCCCTCAGCCTGCTGTGTCCCACTACCAAACCCTATGAGCTCGAAAACCTAAATACCCGATGCCCTTTATAAGCCCTATAGCCAGGTTTTCTGCATTTTGGGGGTGAGTCCCATACCATGGTGGGATGACGATCCTAAGACTGAGACCTAAGTTTCTACAGCACGTCGAGTGTCTACCGATGCACAGTTGGGCTAATCAGCTGGCAGCCATAAAACTTTTATATCACAGGTATCCTGCCCCTTGCTTGAATTCTGTGCCGAGACGCACCAGGAGCTGGAAGACCAAGTGGCTGAACTCAGGCCGCTTTTCCGGAATAAAGCTTGCCTACACTCTACTTAGGGCTGGGAGGTCTTGCAGGTGAATTCTTTAGGTTTCCATCCTGACTGCCCTGCGTATGTGATTGAACAGGAGGTCTTAAGATGTTTCAAGGGGATCGCGGTCTGTTCTTTTGCAGGACGATTTAGAGTTAAAGTGTCAGGGTCCAGAGTGTGGGTTGTAGGGATATGCGGGTGAAAGTGTGGATTTTATGTCCGATAGTGCTAAACAGTGCGAGAAGATTTCACATGTGCACATAGCTCCATATGCATCGATGCAGATATACGTACAATCTAATTTTGGAAAAAGTGGACAACATTTGTTCTTAGCATTTCTTGCATATTGCCTTTTTGTTGGAATGCATTATCCTCTTTCAAGAATCCGTATACCCAAAATGCAACCTCTCTGAAGGGGAGTATGCGCTAGCCAAGGTAGTGCAAACTTATTACACTAATCTTAATTACAGTGACAATTGGGATGGTGTAAGGTCTAGGACTCATGCTTCTTTTGAAATATTTCGGTTCTAGGAGTTGTTGTGATCTCGGCGTTTTTCAGCAGCGTATACAGACCTGGACAAGCCAGAAAGGGACCCATACATAATTTCGAGAACCCTGAACATTAAACCTAGGTCCTAAACCCGAGTGTCGTGTTCTGAGTTTGAACTGTGCTTGAAGTCGTTAGGATTCGGCCTGCATGGCACCCGGGAATACGGGACGGAAGTGCACCGCGCTTTTGGGCTCCAGATACCGCGAAGTAGGTCCTGTGGTTAAACGACAGACCCCATACCGGCTGTCTATTAGGAGCCGTAGAGTTCTTATAGAGGTTTCAACGATTATGCATAGTATTTCTGACAGGCTTTATACGCTTGTAGGAGCTTGCCCTGTTCAGGGTTATAGACTTTTCCGACGGTCGTTGAAGCCGAACACCCTGGCTTCTTTGAAGCGAAACAATTCGGGGTTTGGGGCTCCAAAGCTTGAAAGCCTGCAATCCCAAAATTCCCAAAGTGTCGTCAGTAATTCCCAAATCATAAAGTAATTCTTATTACAGAAACCTTACCTTCGTATATATATATATATACACTAAAAAGTATATGTATGGGGAATGTAAACCCACACCCCGAACTCGGAAGTTTTGAAGCCGTGCTGGAATTTCGAAGTTGCAACTGGTGGGTTTAGGCGTTAGGGTTTTGTGGCTCAAGGTCTAGGGTTTTTGCGATTCGGGGTTCAGCATGTAAAGTTTTGGAATTGCATAACTGAAACCAAAGCCTTTAATCGCTACAGGCAGCGGGAGGAACAGCAACAGCTCGAAATCAAGGGCTTGGAGTCCAAAGTGCGCTGGCCGAATTAAACACCTTGGACAATCACTACAAGTTCTACTATGATTCCATAGCGTTCCTATTGTAATTAGAACATACTAGTATATATCTCAAAACCATATTCAAAATATGTAACGCTTTCAAGAAATGTTCTGAAGGTTTTAGTTTTTTGGGTTGAACGTTCTCACGTTGCGCGCAGTGGCAACTTAAACCCAAAAGGTATCAACTTGGAAGAGCCGCGGGGACAGTCTCAGAAAATGTGGAACTCTTCCTGAAACCTTCCTGCTGGAAGGACCTGCTAAATAAGGTGCCTCATACTCATTGCCCGATGCTGATTGAGTCTTTGGACCCTAGACCCTATACCCGAAACCCTTCAACTTGTTGGGTTCGTTGTTGGTTCAAAAAGTATAGGAATCTATTAGTCTAGACTTCATCTACTAGTCTAGACTTCAGGACTAAGTCTCGGAAGTCTGCCCACTTCAAGAGTTACGTTTGTTCTAAGAAGTGTGTGTGATTTGGTGGATTAAGGTTGAGGGGCTTGGGGTTTGGAGCTCGTTTTCGATCAAGATCGTAGACCGCTAGGGCCCCTGGTTTGCAGCGATTTTCGGTGGAGGTGCGCAAATCCAATTTTCATGCATCCAGTTCGGTGGTGGTTCTGGTCGTCCTGGTGGTTGCTGTTGTCCGGGGTGGTCACGGTGTTCCTGGCGTCGTCGTAGTGGTGTCCTGCTGGTCCTGGTCGTCGTTGTCGTCATGGTCATGATGTTCATCGCCGTCAGCCTGGTTGCTTCGGAATGTACATGCTCCGTCGGCTTTTACTGTTTGAGGATGCTACCATTGACTTGTTTTCACCCGCAGACAACTGTCAGCTCATATTGCTGTGTGCGGGGTGCTCACAATTGGAGACTGAAGGTGCGGTATCTTCAGGAACAGCGCGAGAAAGCCGAGGAGGACTTTCAAGACAAGGCCCATCTTGGGCTCGGGTTTAGGAATCAGGGCGGTTTGAGTTATGTTAGGGTTTATGGTTCCTTTGAAGGGATCTATAAGGGGTCTCTTAAACGGATCTATATGGGTTCCTTTACAGGGATCTACAGGGGTTTCGGGGTTTGGTTTGGGTTAGGGGTTCACGGGGGATGTAGAGCACTCTGGAAAAACTCTGTGGTGCAAGGCATTCAAGCGGTTAAGGGCTCTTCGATGCAGGGCTTAAGGGTGCATTGGCTGGACCTGAAGTAAGTTTGGGTTATGGTGTCGATTGGCGATCTGAGGTCTGAGGCTTCCAGGATGTATATAGGGTTGGGAAGGTAGACCCGGAGAATGCGCGGACCTAGCAAGCAACTGATATCTTGGCCCTGAGCTGTAAGTACCATGTCAGAACATAAACCAGGCATCACTTGTCAAACTGGGTATTTTGCCTTATATGGTTCCGTTAGATTGATAAGGCAGTGCGTTTGGCGTCGTGTTGCGGCCAAGTAGCTTGACGAAGGCCATAGATATGCTCACAGCTTCAATGTTCTTTTCTTAGGATCATTCCTTTTTTATCGGCCGCAGTTAACTTTGCAACAGTCAGTACACTCAAAGCTTTAGTTTAGGGTTCTAGGGTATTCTTCAGTTTCCCAATAAGAATCTCCGAGGGATTGTTAAACATAAACTTACATGTTTATCGTGGTTCTAAGGGCGCTTAGGAAAGTATGGAAGAAACACAACCAAAATCACGGCCACATAAACTTGATTGAAGCTTCCCACGACAGGCAATGAAGATCACCCCTTGTCCTGCCACGCCCGTGTCGCAGTTTAGTCCCACCTCTAGTACAAGGCCCTTGGATAACCCTACGATTTTGTAGGCATTGGGGCTACAGGTCAATCCTGGAATCCTAAACCCCTAATTAGATTCCCAACTCCTCACCCTAAGCCCCTCATCCTACCCGTAGCCCCCGAAAAACCATTACAGTATATAAGGCAACATGATAAGGATGCCTGAAAAGGTAGGATTTTCTCCGGCTAAAAATGAACCCTGGAACCACAGAGACCCGCTGAGAGCCCAAAGCTTTAGAAGCGTTGAGGGTCTAGGATTTAGGGCATAGGCGGTAGTGTTTCGAGCTGAAGGCAAAGCCGCTTAAGACCCACAACAGAGAGCTCTAAACTTCCTCTTGACAAACCTAAAGCCGCGAAGCAAAGCATACAGTCTGTCGATCTCTACAGCTGTATCTAAATCACTAAAATGCACGCGCACACACACACACACATGCGCAAACACCTCTGCAAACCTAAGACCTGAAGCCCTGAAACCCTGAAACTCAAAACCCTGCCAGCCCAAAAGCCCATAAGTTGAACCTTTCCTACAAGCAAACCCCAGCAATTTTACTGCCCGAAAACCTCAAAAACCCATTTATCAGCACTGTTGAACCCTAAGGGTCCAGTACCCAAATAGTAGGGTTTCAGAGTCCAAAAACCATTCAGAGTATGGATTTTGGGGCTTACAACCCTACTATTTGGGTGCTTGGACCCTCTGGAAAACTACTATTTGCTTAAGAACCCCCAAAAAATAAAAAATATATTCCTTATGGGGGTAATATAGGGATTACTATATTTATTTTTTCGGGGGTTTCTTAAGCAAATAGTAGAAAAGGAACCCTTTACTTGCGGAAGCCTCAGCCCTGGAAACTGAAATCAGTAAACCTCTGAAGCCCTAAACCCTGAAACCCCAAGGAACTTGTAGAACCCTTATAGATCCCTTTAAAGGAGCCTTTTGAGGACCCTTTTAAAGAACCCCAGTTCCTAACCCTTTGAGGAACCCTGGCCCCGAGGAGCCAAGAACAATGTTATAGCCAGAATCGTTATATTACAAGATCAGACAGGAATAATGTGGTTAACACTTACCAATATTAATGAATAAGAATAGTAATAGCAAAATACTAATATCAATAATAGTAATAACAATATTAGTGCGACGGCTACGGCTCTACTGCTTCTCGTTGCTTCCAGGCTCGGGAGCTGCAGGCGGACCACCGCTACGAAGCAGAAGGAGCCTTGTCAGATCAAGTTCAGGGCTTTGGGGTTTAGGGTTTAGGGGCTTTGGCTGTAGTGCTTTAGGATTAAACGGGGTTTGGGCTTGGTCCTGTAATCGGCATTGCGCATTCTTATGAAGCCTCGAATATCAAGGCGTCTTCAGGGTTTAGAGGTTTGGGGTAACGCGTTTCTGGGGTGTGGGCATTTTTTTAAGAATGACTTTATTATTTTTGAGTGATTTGTTGTTGTTGGTATTCTGAGCGGCTGCGAAGATAGTTTTATAATGGGTTTTGTCGTACCGGCCTTGCCATAAATGGAATAGGATTTGGGGGGTTCACTGGCTTTCTACTTTTCTCATGGATTTTGAAGGTATTTCCAGCCTGTTTGGGGCTTTGCAAGGGTCTCGTCCTTCAGCGATGCGGAGTCGAAGGCTGTTGAGTTCTTTGCACGCTTCGAGGCGGAGAAGGATTTGGCTAAGAAGCTCCGGAAGAAGGGCGTCCCCGAAGAGTGGCTGTCCGATCCAGCGTAGAGCCTGGGCGATCAGGCTCCCATGATTCGGTTGATGTACACCGTCTTGGACAGACACGTGCTTGTGAAAGCCATGAGTGTGGGTTGCGCCTCCGGCTTGACCGATGCTGCGGGCGCAGCTGTGCCTCTGAGCGATGATGATATGCAGGACTCCATCCTGCACTCGTGGTGCTCTCTGCGCAAACATGTGACCACAAGGGACACAACGCCCTAACTCCTACAATACTCTAAACCCTAGAATGCCCTCAGCCCTATAACTCTTAAAATACCCGATGCCCAAAACGGCGCCGGCCCCGGCCTTGGCTCAAGTTTAAACGTAGAGCTGGACGTGTACGGTCATTGGGTCTAGTGCTTCAAGGTTGAGGGTTAAGGGCGCTTTCGGCTTTAGGGTTGGGTTTAGGGCTTATGTCAGGGCTTTTGCGTTCAGGGTGAACAGGCCACAAGTTACATGGAATCCGAACATGCCACACAACAAGCCCTAAAGCCCTGGAGTCCGAATGTAGGTCCTGAGTCGGGCTCCTGAGAATTCTAATTACCCTAAACCCCAAACCCTAAATTGATCTTACGTTGTCTTTCGTGGCCCCCCAACCATTGCCGGCGACTTGAACAACGCAATCATATGCGATCCCCCTGTGCCCCGTAGAGTAGTACTTAGGTACACTCTCACAAAAAAACAAGAGTACAGCAATTAGTAGCTATAGTTCTTGTAATAACAGTAGTATGTGCAGTAGTACAGTAGTACCATGGTTCAGTAATACAACCAATACATGATACAACAGTCGTACATGAGCAGTACAGCAATAGTAACGCAACGGGGGGCCCCAAAATCCAACCTTCGGTAAAAGGTTGATACAACCTAGCACCCGAACATGAGCCCTCCTCAACCCAATTGAATGCAACAGCGGCGAAGTTGCGATAGGTGCGAATGCAAATAAACTTATATACAGAGAGAGAGAGAGAGAGAGAGAGAAACCGCAGATAAGTATGTGATTTTGAATGTTCATCGTTTCGTTGCGAGATCAGTCCGGAAGATCCTTAATTATGCTTTTGTTTAACCAAAACCCAAAACCCTAAAAGAACCCTAAGCCCTAAACCAAATACCGGCGGGCATTCGGGAGTGACTACCCACAAGAGTCGGACTTCGGGGGTGTGACGCGGAAAAGATGCCAGCGGCGCGAGGAAAGTGGGATTTGACAGTCCAAAAAGTCACGAACATCAAAGAAAAGAGTAGGATAACAAAAGCAAGCTTTAGGACGAGGTTGGGCTGCTTTTTAATATGGCGACATTGTGCGGTTTGTGTGCAAAACGCTGTCCATGCAGCTGCTAAGCAAGTGAAGGTGCCAGCTAATGTCGCATCAGCATCCGTGAATTGCGGGGTATATCGGGCTCGCTGCCCTGCCGTACCCCAACAAGTAAAGCCAACAGCCGAAGGCCTTGAACTCTAACACCCGAAGCTTAACCCCTGAAGCATGCAAAAAACCTTATTAAAAACCTTGCGAACACGTGCAAAGGGTTTCTCGACGGACTTGGAAAAGGTCATTCCAAAGCCGGTTTTGGAATCTCCACCCAGGTTGGGCGCAGAAGGCCCGAAAGCAGGAGGAGAGCAGCAGCCGACTCGGAGCACAGTTGAAGACGCTTTGGCCAACTGGGCTTAGCGTTGAGGGTTCAGGATGTAGGGTTCTGGGTTTAGGAGTTAGAGGTTAGAATTAAGGGTTTAGGGTTCAGGATGCTTCATAGGGGCTTCGTGTAGTCTGTTCGAAGCGGCCATGTAGGATGTCTACAGGGTTTCTTATAGGGCTTTAAGAAGCAAGCTTGGTTAATTTAACTTGGCATCCTCATAGCTTTTGCAAGGTTTCCCCTGAAGGAAACCTTGTCTTGGGAATGTTTTTACAGGACTTTTCGGCAGGTTCTTTGTAGGGCGAACGTGCGTCAATAGAGTTTTGGGGGCTCAGCATTCAGGATGCTAGACGTGGATTTTCAGGACTTGGGCTGTAGGCTTGCAGCTTTGAGACTGTGCAAGTTTTAATGACCTAGCTGGTGGTAGGGTAGAATATGTATGTGTTTTTTTGGATGGGGGGATGGGGGGAGTGTTATCGAAAAAAATAAATAAAATGAGGAACCCCCAAAATAGTGTTGGTACTTATTTATTCCCCTATATTAGGGTGCCGGGCGTGGCCGTGGCTCTCCAGTACGCAGCCCATGGAAGGCCTAGTAGTCGAGTAGGTAACCTTTAACCTTTTTGGGTAGTATAGTCCATATATAACCCCTATATAACCAAAAAGGTTAACCTTTAGTTCCCCATGATACCCTAAACCCCTAAAACCCTAAACCCCTCCTAGAACCTTCATAGGTCCCCTATAGGAGCCCTTTTAGGTCCCGTATAGGAACCCTTATTCCTTTAATCCCTCAAAGTAAGAAGGAGGATGATGGCTCCTCGCAGATCCGTTGTGTTTCGTCTTGGCGTTTTTCACGCGAACCGCAAGCACCAGATGTTTCTTACCTGGGGGCTATAACTGATCATGGGTGAAAGGCATGGTTACCTGGGTTGTGCTTTGGGATCTTTTTTAATTTCCCTTACTATTCTGTCGAGAACCATAATAGTAAACAACTTTCAAAGGGCTCAAAGGACAACTCAGTTACCATAATCATCAACTTCAAGGATCGTTGGAGAATCGGGGAACTCGACTTGGCATGGCCATCAGGGTCTGGGATTTCGTAGTTTTCCTTCAAACCAGGAAGCGCCACTCCACCGTAAGGTGTGATGAAAGTCTGACTCCGGGTTGTAGGTCTTGGGATTGAAGAGCTTGGGCCATAAATGTCCCAAAAATGCTTGTAGTGAAGCTTTGAAGCACGCGATGCTACAAAGGTTTAGGACCTGCAGTGGCACGTGAACTTGTCCTCCCTTAGCCCGAAACACCTAAACTTTAACCGGTTCCAACATCCCCAACTAGCATCTGCTTACCATTAAGCGACCTCCGTGAAAGGTACCTTGTGGGGTGTTGGCACATCGTCCACAACTCTTAAATCCCCCCACACGCCAACCCGTAAACTCCAAACCCCAAAAGTCATTGTCATGCCCTAATACTGTAATCTCAGGAAGTCAGAGGCAGATGTGTGGCCCCCAGATCACGCAACTTCAGGATATGTTGGCTCCTTCAGATTTCTTATCTATCAATGGCCAAGATAAGCCCTACACCCGAAACGCTAAACCCATCCGAAATAATTCCGGGTGTTTCGTTGAAGGTGGGAGTCATCCGGAGACGGCTTTGGTTCTGGAGGTTCAGGTTTAGGGTTAGTTGGGGGGCCCAAGATTTAGATTCGGCGTGAGGGCTTGGAGCAGCATGTTACCAGAATAAGTTGAAGCTCCCATACCATCATTTTGGCGTTTGATGTGCATCTGCGTAAGCTTCACGGGATGTTGGTCAACACCTATTAGGCTTCAGGGTGTATAGCCTACACTCATTGGTTTGGGACAACAGTATCCCGTAAAGAAATGTAAGTACAACAACTTTGGGGCTTATGAAGGCGCCAGCAAAGTAAGGGTGTCGGGGCTGGGACGGAGGGTTACCCCGATAGACCCATAGGCCCTAAGCCCTAACCTTAACTCCGAATGGGAAACCCCCTTTAGGGGTCCTGTAAGGGTACCATAAGGCTTTAGGCTTGAACCCACGTCAAACTAGTACGTAGCTTGGTACTTTACGGGCTCACGGCGAAAAGTATTTGCCAGATGAGTACATGAACCCCAAAGCAACCGCCTAAAGCTTAAGCCCTGAGGCAGTTACCGGCTGCAGGAGTAAAGTCTGCTGTCTCTTAGAACCTCGAACGAACCTTTGTGGCAGCCACATGAGCTTCAGAGGCTCAGGGCTGACCTAGAGTAACGAAGGTACCTTAAACGGGTAAACGTGCCAGTTCTTCGGCGGCCAGAGTGTTCGGATATCACCCATCTTAATTGTCTTGCTCACACCGTGCAGCCATGGCCGTTTTCACGCAGAGCGAGATGCTGGACATGCTCCAAAAGGACTTCACAGCGGATGGCTTTGTCTGCAGCTACAGCCTGGGATGCTGTACTTGAGAGTTCTCTGTGCATCAACCGCATTGTGTGAAATGAACTGCGTCATTGAACTGCAACAGGGCCGGCACAAAAACAGGGAGCAGAATACCCCGCTTCCTGCAATGGAGCAGCCGTTGACCCTGACAGCCAAAGCAAGCGCAACTTGGTACTCTTGCGGCCTGCTTTACAAGGCGAGATCATCCAAATCACCGTGGATGGTGATGGGGGGGGAGGTTGAGACCATGAACACAGCTGAAGCGGGAGCGCCATTGCAAGCAACAGCCGTTCATTGGTACTGGTTTGGCCTTGTGCTTGCCATGTCCATGACACTCTTTCGTCAGGTGATGTCAGGTGCTTAGTTTCATCTAAGGACATTGTCATCAAGAACATCACCACGGCGAGCCACGAGGACTGCTTGAAAATCGGTTGTCGAACTTACTGCGCCGGGACTAGCGGCGTGATAAGGACATCCTGTTAGGAGTAGATCGTCCGTGCAGAACGGGTTCCAGCAGTCTTGGATTGCACAATGTGCAAGCCCGCGCCGGAGCTAATCCCTGATGCGGAACACCTTAACCGCGAGGGATGGCAAATAGCTCCGCCAGCGGGTACATGGGTTGCTCTAGGCAGGGTGTTGTTGGGCCTGCAGAGGAGGGTTTCGGTTTTGTTAGGGTTTTAGCCCTCAAGCCTGAGACCTACAGTGAACCCCGGAAAGTTGGAACATGGATTTAGGATGATTCGTGCAGGGACCCTCGAGATTGTACCTTAAGGGCACGGTATACAACCTGACACCTGCAACCCTAAGCCCTAAACCCTAACACCCCAAACCTTAAACCCTAAATCCTAACGCCTAACATCCCAATCCCAATAATCCTTCAGCCCAATGCTGAAACCTCGATCCGGCACCCGACACAAGATCCCTTACAGATCCCTGAAAGGAGCCGCTGAGTGGGTAACCTTTAACCCTGTATAATCCTACCAGAATTGAAAACCCTAAACCCTAGACCCTACACCCTTAAACCCCAAACCCAAAACCCCTAAACCCTAAACCCTGGCTAGCGTACTCAGCCCCTGAGTGTAGATCCCTTCTAGACCCTGTAAAGGAACCCCACACAGGAACCCTTCGCCTTGTTTTGAGCTAAAGTATTCAGCACCCGAACAAAACGAGGTGGAGCTGCTTCAGAGTCAGCTGGCCGAGGCCTTTTTGTGGCGCTGGGGTGCAGGCTTTATTGTTTAAGGCTTAGGGGCTTGGGGTGGAGGGCTTAGGGGTTTGGGGGCTCAGGGTTGATTGAGCTGCGTTGATGGTTTAGGTCTTAGCGTCCGGGGCTTAAACTTTAGAGGCTTAGGGTTCGAGACCCTCAACCCCCCACACTTATTCGCTCAACCGTGTTTCGGATCTTGGAGTGTGCTTATGATGCAGTTCGTGCTCGCTTCAGCGAGGTTTGGTGGACACTCCGATACACATGCATGCTGGGTTCTTGCTCAGCTGTTGATCTTAAGTTCAATTTTCAGGAAACCTGTTTATTTGCCACATGTCCTCGTTGTGGTAACTTAAAAACCGGATCAAGGATAGCTGATCCCTTTCCATCGGCCAGATCCAAGTGGGGTTTAGGTTTGGGGTTGGGGGTACTTGGTTGGAAGAGGATTTGGGGCTAATGAGTGCACTTGCGGACCTGGCCTTTCTGTCTTGGGAGAGAGGACTGTGCATGGAAACTCTGCCCGACAACCCAAGGCCGTGACCCCAAATATCAGGTTCCGAAAGTTCGAGATTTCGCTATGAAGCAGGAATCTTCTGCAGCCGCCTCTTCCGTTGATCCTACTCCTGCTTCGGGCGCCATTTGGGTTGAGCATTTTGCTCTCGACGGTGCAGTCGCAGAGATCCGCAGGCGATCTGCTGCTGATCACGTTCTGGCGCTGGATTGGCATGGAGTGGCAGACAAGAGCCTTGAGGCCACATCCCGTGTTTTCTCCTCGTGTGCGAGCCGGCCTGATGTTTTGATGCTCATTCTGTCTAAGACAGAGACGCAGCGATTCAAGGAGGTTACGTTCAGGGAGACAGACCGAATGGCCCGGGCACACGGCATCACAGTATTGTGCCTTTTTACACCGCGTGCCGTCGGAAAGGACGGAAAATCCAATGCACTGTGGACGGCGGTTAATGGCTCCGGCGCGACTTTTCGAACGATCACGCATGTTGACTTACCTGGGTGTAGAAACCTTCGAAAGAATCCTGAACCCAAAGCGTTCTCATCCTTAGGCCCTAGACCATCCTAAACCTGAGCCCTTCGTAACCCGAGAGGTTCCCCTGCGCATAGAATCATAGAACAAAAGTACAAGACCAACACCCCAGAGACTCCAAAACCCCTACTTACTTAAGAAATATACACTAAAGTATAATAGGATCCCTAATTTGACTTATTCCTTAGTTAAGGGGTTTTGGAGTCTCTGGGATCTCACCTCCAGCCTTTCTGCTATCGGCGCCACGTTCGGCCATCTACAAGCCTGGATAACGATACTATTCTACCCCAGACCCTCTTCGAACAATGCAGGCCCCTATACTACGTCACGAACCGTGAGATCCCTACCCTTCAACCCAAAACCACCCTTGTATTCTGGGGCTTACGGTTTTAGGTTGTCTGAAATCCGAAGCCCGAAGCCTAAATGGTAGTTTTCGAAAATAGGGGACCTAATATAGTACCCTAAATAGTAGGACCCTTATAATAAGGACCCCGAAATACGGTACCCCTAATTTTGGGAAACTCCCACATCAACCCCGATTTAAAGCAAAAACCTGTGGCCGCACTGGCCGTTGATGCAAGCCACCCCGAGCCCAAGAGAGTACATGAAAGTGTCGTCTTCTGAGTTCCGTAAGGCTGGGTTGTACGAGAGCTCTTTTGCGCTCTTCTGTTGGTTTGGGGAGGACTTTTGGGAGGATTGTTTCTGGTTGCGTATAGGGTGCATCAACACCAGACCCGTTGTACCTCAAACCCTTACACACCAAGCCCTATGTGTTCCAAGCTGCCAAACCCCACCCTGAAACATACCCAAACTTGAAACTACACCGGCCTAAAGCCCTGAACCTTCAAGCCAAAGAAGCTTCGAGCTCGATTTCAAAAAACAACTTTTGGAACACTGTAGCCGCCCCAAGAAAACCCACGTTGCACGATGCAACACTTAGTTGATTAGGCCCAATTTAAAGTTGAGACGGAGGGTCCTTTTGGTTGTGGCACTCTACACCATTTGCATACCGTTCAAGGGCTTAGGGTTCAGGGGTTTAGGGGTTAGGGTTTCCCAAACCCTACGTGGAGGGTCGGGGGACTTGGTAAGTAGGTAGTAAGTAGACGTATAAGTACCCTAAAAGGGACCCTATGGTACTTATAAGTCCCTAAAATATCCAGTTACTAAGTCCCCCGACCCTCCAAGTAAAGCCTAAACCCTAAACCGTTAGGAGTTTAGGGTTGACTTTCAAGACCCTAAGGGTCCATGAATCCATATAGAAATACATGAGCCCCAAAGCACCTATATAGGGACTACATTAAGGCCAATGTATGTAATGTATGAGTACATGGACCCTTACTTGGAGGGGCAGCGGACTTAGTAAGTAGGTTATAAGTAACTCTATTTAGGGTACTTAAAACTCTACTTATAACCTACTTACTAAGTCCCATGATCCTCCAAGTAGGGAGACTGATCGACAGGCCCAAGCTCTTAGCCGCCAGTTGGAAGTCGAAGCTGAGCGCCACCTGCCCGGCTGTGGGGTTTAGGCGTGGGGTTTTGTTGGTGAAAGGTTTAGAGCTTAGGGATTTCGTAGGTTTCAGGGTTTAGGGTCCGATGTGATAGTTAGTCTAGGTTTTTTTTGTGGATTCTGGTGTGGTGTTGTTTGTTGGTTGTTCGTCTTCCCTGAAGTAGCCGCAAGGCTTCATGCAGTTTATACAGCCTGGTCGTTGGGCCCAATCTGAGTCCTTCAAAGAGTCCCATCTCTGCCTTGTTGTGGCAATTGTTACTCTAAGGGGGATGTACCTACTGCAGATGTTGTTTCTCCATGGCCTTAAACCCTACAAGCCCTAAACCCCTCACCCCTCAAACCCCTGAAACTTCTAACCTTCAACCCAGGGATCCCGAGCCTTAAGCCCCGAAGAGCGCAGGTCGTGGTAAACCCTATACACCCTAGGCCTCGATTGGAGGAACATCGGCATGTGCTTGCCTTTTATTTCTGTGTTCTATGGTTCGGGGATTTCGGATTTAGCGTTTTAGCATGTCAGTAGGGATTTACTCAGAGACTCACAGCCGCAGAAGCTTCCGAAAGCCTGTAGCCTTACGATGTGTAATCATAGAGCTCTGATGCTTGAGTCCCTCGAGTGGTTGGAATCGGGTCAAGGTTGAGGATATTGCAAAAACGTACCCCGGAAAGCTCTGCATTATAAGCGAGTTTCCGAAAATTGGGGTACCCTATTTTTGGGGGGGTCCTGATATTAAGGAACCTACTATTCAGGGTACTGTATTGCCGATGGTCATACTTTCAGCTTCGCTTTTGCTGTCGTCTTAGCTCCATTGCTATCCAGACCTGGATACCCAGGGAAGGATGAACAACTTCGGGTTTAAGGTTTAGGGGTTTAGGGGTTGAGGGTTTAGGGGCTTAGGATTTTGGGGTTAAGGGTTTAGGGGTTTAGGGGTTTAGTTGTAAATAGGCTGCCCTGCACCCCCGAGGATGGGCTGCGAAAGCTTCGCAGCTTGAGAGCACCGGCGGGCGCGCATGCGTTCAGCTGAAGCCCGGGGCCCAGCCTGACTAGGGTCATAGGTTTTTCGGCTGCTCGGGTTCAGATGCACACCTAATGAACTCGCCAAACGGGCCGTAGTACTTCTGGTCAGGTTATAAGCGGCATGGCCCTAAACTCTGAGCCGATAGACCCTAAACCCTTTAAGCACCCTTGAACCCGAAGCCGATGGACCCCTTGAGGTTATTTTAGTCCTTAGGATATGTTCCAAACCCTCGACCCTCAACCGAATACAGACGCTTGAAGCATTATCAATCTATTCTGCTGCTTTCCTGAACAATGATAGCACAAGTAATCGTAGGTGACCCAAATCCCTATTCGAATGGTTCAGGGAAATCTAACATGTGTTTCAGGGGGCTTGGATGCACGGTTGAGGGTTAAGGGTTCCACTCAGCACATACAGTAGAAGCCAGAAAGTTGGAACATCATTGGCCTCATGCCCTTAAGGTAAAGTATAAGGGATCCTAGCACTAATCCTCCTAAAGCCATGTTCCAACTTTCTGGCTTCTAGTATACCTTCTTTCGGGTTATATGGTTGCAGGCTTGAGGCTTCATATGCAGGGTCTTTGAAGCTTGGTTGTTCCTTGTTGGATATGAGTTTTGGTGTTCACTGAGGCTTGAGGCTGGATGTCTATGATTGCGAGTCTTGCGTTACCCAGAGACTCGAAAACCCCTAAATGAAAGAATATACTCTAAAGTATAATAGCATCCCTAACATGGTTAAAGGTTTTTATTCCTTAATGAAGGAATATACTTTAAAACATAATAGGATCCCTAATATGGCTTAAGGTATATGATCCTTAAGTCAGGGATATTGGAGTCTCTGGGTATTGAGCTGCCGGTTTAGGGTTTCGGGTTTCCCTAAACCCTAAACCCTAAACTGCCATCATCCTTGCACCTTTGCAAGTCCGGGGCCCGACCAGGACTCCCAACTCTGCTCACATAGGAGTTTCCGAAAATTAGGGGGTACCTTAGGGTTCCTTTAACTCCTCTAAGGGTTCCTATAAGGGATCTATAGGGTTTAGGGTTTAGGGACTTTTCGAAAATTAGGGGTACCTCATCTTGGGGTCATTATAATAAGGATCCTGCTATGAAGGGTACTATGTTCGGGTCCCCTATTTTCTTCTGAAACTCTTACATTCCTTTGCGACTTCAGGCTTCAGGTCTTTAAACTTGCCTTTGGTTAGTAGGGAATGGAGGAATGGGGTATAGTTATAACTACTACGGTTGATGATATAAATCCTGCATTACCCATAATGAGGAATATACCATAATTCCCACATATTCCCTATTATGGGTAATGCAGGATTTATATCATCAACCGTAGTACTACCATTCTTCCATTCCCTACTAACCAAAAGTCTTTGAAGAGCTGGCACAAGGAGCGCCCAGGTCTTCTACATCCTACTGTGAAGCAGGCTCATCTTCAAACCCAAAGCCTCCAAAATCCTTGAATATAGGAATATACCATTAAGTCATATTAGGGATCCTACTATGACTAAAGGTATATTCCTTAGTTAAGGGGTTTTGGAGGCTCTGGGAACTTAGTATGACGTCGGAACAGTCGTGTGGCGCCAGTTTCGGATTGGGTTTAGGTTTTGATCTAGCTGTGCCGGCTCCATATTGCAACAGAAATGCTACTTTCTTGTGCCCAGAGACTCCAAAACCCTTTAATTACGGAATTGACGCGTGCAATCGTAGTAAGTGCTTGTGATTGTTTCAGGTACCTTCCTGTTGGAAGGTTGCAGGGTTTCAGGGGAATGTGACAGCAAGCAAACTGGATGATGCAGGGAATGGGTCGTAAGCTTTCGGATTCGACTGCTGGGAGGGCCTGAAACCTCGAAGCCCGGAAATCAGAAACCCGAACTACGCCCTGAGACCCCTTAAACCCTCAGCCTTTAAACCGTGGAACTAAACCTTAAACCCTCAACCCTGAAACCCTAGACCTTAAAACGTGAAACTAAACCCTGAGACCCGAAGCTCCAAAAACCTGAAACCGTAAACCCTGGAGCCCCAGGCACTACGCCCTCATCCCTGGGCTCTGGACCTTTCGAGCCCGAAACCTAACCCTGAACCCTAAACCCCTGAACCCCTCAACCCGAAACCCTTAAACCCTTCAACCCTAAACCCTTAAACCCTTCAACCCCTGAACCCCTGAGAACCCCTGAGAACCCCTGAGAACCCCTCAACCCGAAACCCTAAACCCTTAAACCCCTGAACCCCTAAACCCTAAACCCTTAAACCCCTCAACCCTGAACCCTAAACCCTTAAACCCCTGAACCCCTCAACCCTTAAACCCTTAAACCCCTCAACCCGAAACCCTTAAACCCTTAAACCCCTCAACCCTAAACCCTAAACCCTTAAACCCCTCAACCCTAAACCCTTAAACCCCTCAACCCTAAACCCCTGAACCCCTCAACCCTGAACCCTAAACCCTTAAACCCCTCAACCCCTCAACCCTTAAACCCTTAAACCCCTCAACCCGAAACCCTTAAACCCTTACACCCCTCAACCCTAAACCTAAACCCTTAAACCCCTCAACCCTAAACCCTTAAACCCCTCAACCCTAAACCCTTGAACCCCTCAACCCTGAACCCTAAACCCTTAAACCCCTGAACCCTAAACCCTAAACCCCTTAAACCCCTCAACCCCTGAACCCTGCAACCCTAAAACCCCTCAACCCTGAACCCCTAAACGCCTAAACCCCTCAACCCTAAACCCTTAAACCCCTCAACCCTAAACCCCTAAGCCAAACCCCTAAACCCCTGAACCCTAAACCCTAAACCCTTAAACCCCTCAACCCTAAACCCTAAACTTGGGTACGGCCCCACTCAGTAATAGTTGAATAATTTTCATAATATAGATATATTAGGACCTTAATAGTAGCCCTATTATAGACTCTTACTGTAGGGGGGCAGTACCTAACCCTAAACCCTTAACCCCGCATCACAAGGAAGGCCGAGGCCGACGTCTCCTCCTCAGCTTCTGAGAGCTGTCGTGTCTTTTCTGGGTTACGGGGTTTAGGACTTAGGGTTTAGGGGTTTAGGAGTTAGGGTTTAAGAGTCAGGGGTTTGGAGTTTTGGGTTTAGGGGTTTAGGGGTTTAGGTATAAAAAAAGGGCTTCGAACTACTGTCTTTGGGGTTTCGGGGTTAGTGTATTGAGGGTTCAAGGTCCAGGGTTAGGGTTCAGGGGATTTACAGCTAGTGTGTTTAAGGTTCAGGGTCCGGAGGTACGGTTTAGACTCAGTTTCTTTAGTGCTTGGGATCCGGAGTTTGGGTTTATGGTCGTTTAGCGTTTGAGATGGAGCAACAGCGTCCAGTGTTGGGGGTATGGAGGTTAGGGTACAGTAACAGTATACTGGATAAGCGATAATAAGTTATATATAAGCGTGACCAGTAGCTAGACCAGGCTTCCGACAAGCATCCACGGGACAGAGTGCTGGTCAGAACGTGCATCGGAGGCGAGCGGACAGGACCTGAGGTTATCATCTAGGTGGAAATTCGGGAAACCCTAAACTATGGGAATTATGGTATATTTCTATTGTCTTACGGACCCTAAACTATGGGAATTATGAATATTCCTGATTATGGGTACTGCAGGGTTTATATCATCAACCGTATGGACACCGTGGATCATGACGAGGCTTGTCTCATCGCGCACTTGGGGCCCTACGAGTAACCTGCTTACTACGTCTCATGATCCTCAATAGTTCTGAACAGAGTCTTCGACGGAGTGAGTATTATTGACTTGACTTGAAATCGTCTCTGTGGTCGCTAAAGCAGAGATGTGGCTAGACCGTAAGCCCTAAACCCAAAAAATCGTCCTTAATCGTCAACCCCGCCGACCCTAAACCATAAGCCGTAGCATCCAGTTTGCTGCTGGAGGTGGCGATGCTGGAGAGCCAGTTGAATGAGGACGGCTTTGCTATCGGCTTCTGTTCTAAATGGGATCAAAACAAGATCTTGAGTGTTTTCTGGGAGTTGCAACCGGGATCCATACAGGGCTCCGTTTGGGATTAAGAAATCCTAAACCCTAGGAGTTTAGGGTTGAGGGTTTAGAGTTCTTAGTTTAGGGTTTCCGGCTGCGGGGATTTTGGAGTTCTTAGTTTAGGATCTATGGCTTAGGGATACACTTGCAACCAGCAACCAGCGACTCCTCGGATGCTGCTTAGGCCTTAGAGGCTGGCTCCGGAAACACAATAGAGCTTTGGGTTTAGGGTTCAGGGTTATGCTATCATACCCCACCTTCTCTCTATCTCTGTAGAAGGTTTAGGATATCCTACCTTCTCTCGCCCTCTCGCTCTCTCTCTCTCTCTCTCTGTGTCTCTGTTTCTTTAGACGTTTGGGCTTCGAAGTTTCGGGTTTAGGGTCTGGCGGTTTCGTGATGCCAGGCTCAGATCGAAATTGGGCAACTACAAGCGCAGATCCATCGAGCTGCCTGAGACCCAATTTCGAGTTTAGGGGTTTAGGGTTTAGGGGTTTAGGGTTTAGGGATGGCGTATGCGGCTATAAGGGACCGGAGTGTCGGCTTGAGGTTTGGCGCTTTTTGGGTCTAGGGCCCCTGGATGAAGATTTTGTGTGTGGGCTTTTTACGGTTAGGCTTTGGTTGGTTTAGGGTTTAGGGTTTAGGGTTTAGGGGTTTAGGGTTTAGGGTTGTAGGGTACGGGATTTATGGATTGGCCTTCTGACATAGTGGGATGGAATGGGCTAGAGAGCCGCGGGCTGTTTCACGGGAAGGCGATGCAAATGGACTTGCAAAGCAAGACAGCATTGCTTGCATGAAATATCGAGTGAGACCGGTTGAAACACCCACGTAGAAACTCAGCTGCATTTGGCACCAGTTTGCCTGCTCTGTCAGGGAATCGGGCGACCTTAAAGCACCTACTGTATTAGCCTATATACCGAAATGTAGGTTTGCACTTTGGCACAATGGAATGCTTATATATAAAGATATCGAATCACAAGAGATGCACATATATATGTATATATATGTATAATATTCATATATTTGTTCAAATTTTTATCTATATTCATGATTTTCAAACATATATATATATATACTCACCCATATTGATATCCATTTTCGAGTAAATAAATTCAATAATTTAATATATTTATATGATACTCACTCTATATTATATTATATTATAAATTCATTGGATATATACAGGGTTAGCCAAAAGATACGCTTTAAGCACTTTCGTTTATCACATTTGATGGCTAATTTTGCTGGTCGAATTAACATGATATAAGTGGAATTATATGCTCAGAGTTTCGAGGGATATGAGGTGTAGTTCGGCCGTCCCCGTAGTTAGTTTTGTTCAGGTAGGAGGTCGGAAGTAGTGGCAGGTGCTCTAAATCTTCTAGTGTATGTTAAACCTTGAATCAACCCGAAGGCCCTAGACCTGAAGCCCTCGCCTCCGCCTCCTCTCTCGACGACATCATCATCGCCATGCTGAGCCGGGGGCTGAGAATTGGGCGGTAATCTTGAATTAGATTAGAAACATAGATAAATCCTGGTTTAAGGTTTGTATAGGGCTTATAGATTTATGTATTGTATCTAAGCAGATTTAATATTAGGCCCTGAATTAACCCGGCTCCTAGGACGTACGGTTGATGATAGAAATCCTGCATTACCTATAATAAGGAATATGCCATAATTCCCATAGTTTAGGGTCCTTAAGGTCATGCAGGATTTATATCATCAACAGTAGGACCCTAGGCTTGCAACATCCTGTAATGTCCTTATAGCGTTCACTAACCCTAAACCCTAAATAACCCTAAACCCTAAATTCAACCCCCCTGGAGCGGTGGCTGGAGATCTTCATCATGGCGACGGTGGTGCCAGACAAGGCCGCGGTGGGCCAACTACGGTCTGTGCAAGACCGTCGGTCTGTGCAAGACCGCCCCGGGGCCTTTGGTCTGCGCAAGACCATTGGCCCCATATAATCTAAAGGCCCCCCCACCCTAAGACCCTAAGCTTCAGATTAGTTTGTTCTTTAGGTGTGTTTAGGGCACAGCCGCGGGTTGGAGGTAGGTCTGAGGCATTAGTTGAGGCATAGGCGGTTTCTTATTTTAGCGGCTGTGCTAGGGTAGGGTTGTGTTCCGGTCTGAGCAAGACCGGGAAAAGTAACGGGTCTGAGGAAGACCCAGGCGTGAGGTCTGAGCAAGACCCCGCCCGCAGGATCACATGTGATCCAGTGGACGGACGTGGTCCGCCGCGCAGCTCGTCATCGCCAAAGTAGGCGTCGGGTGCGCTTCTCAGTGGTGGTTACTGCCCGGTATGGCCCCTACAGGGGTGGGACCTTGTTCCCGGCAGATAACTCCCTGGGTCGCTAAATCTCGATGCCCAAACGGCTTGACTTGCTGTGCTGGTCCACCGATGTCCACTGGGTCCTTTGATCCCTGCGCTAGATCGTTTTCAGGTCTGTGCAAGACCAAGCCTCGAGGTCCCCGTGACCAGTCCTGCGCAAGGGCTGGTTCACAAAAAAAAGGGGGTGGGTTCACTGTTTCGGGCATTGGCCGGGCTTCTTTGGAATTGAGTGTTCCAGGTAGTTTACTGGGGCCGTTCATTTGGAGATTTTGGCTTGGGCCAGACCCAAGTAAGTTCAGGGATGTCTGGGAGTTTAGTATTTAGGGATTAAGGGTTTAGTAAGGGTTTCAGTAAGGGTCCTGGGTTTAGTTGATGCCCAGGTTTGAGGCTTTGGGATATAATAATCGTAGTTTAATGATAATAATAATCATAATAACAATAAATAATAATAGTAATAATAATAGTAATAATAATAGTAATATATATATATATATATATACATATGTATGTATATATATATATATATATATATACATATATATATATAGACTGAAGTTGCAAGGGGGATGGGTTGGATTTCAGGGCGAAGTCCTTGTCAATACCCACCACCACTCGATACCAGGTCATCCCTAAACTCTTACTACACCCTTAATTCTAATGTTTACCCTTACAAAACCCCCAAGCCTGAATCCCACTGCACCCTTAGAAACCTTACTATTCAAATATTGAACCCATGCTCTTATCAGGGTGACACAATACTGGTCACTGAATCTTGCATCAAATCTGGACATCAACATGATCCCATATTCTGTACACCCTTCCTCAACCCTAAACCCTAAGTAGTACTAAACCGGGAAACGGGCGGACAAAATCGTTAAACATATATATATATATATATATATATATATATTTATATATATTTATATTTTTTTTTTACCACCGCGCCTGAGGCCGACCTTGGCGGCTTCTGGTGGGCTTGCTCACTCAGGCCGGACCAATTGGGAGTGCCCCCGCCCCCACCCGCTCACACATTGTCATGCCAGGTCCAACCCGGAGGAGGCTGGCTGATTCTTGCATCATGCACCTGTAGCTTGCTCTTTGTTAGACTTCATGCAGGCCCGTGCTCATGAACAAGTTCTATGTGGGAGGCCTATGCAGGTTTAAGGTTTTTGTGCATTTTGGGAGTGGCTCTTGCTGCAGGTCCGACGATGTCTCCAGCTGGTTGGAGGCATCATCATAGCACAAGGTAGATTCGATGCTGGCTTGAAGACTGCTCTGTCTGGCAGGTCAGTGCACAGCAAGAAGTTCAAGGTCAGAGGCCGATCCGAGTTTAAGGGGCTTTGTTTATTTGTGTTTGGTTGCATTGCTCCTGGCTGCAGGACAGAAGTCTTCAGCTGGTGGGGCCGGAGGAAGGTGGGTCCTCTAGTCATGTAGCATTGTAGCCCACGGACTTCTTGCAGGTCACGATGCATCGTTGAGAAGTTCCAGGTCCGAGGCCAATCCAGGTTTAAAGTTGTTGGACAATTTGTCAGTGTCCCCCTGCTGCTGCAGGTCAACCATTATGGTGCAGTTGGACCGGAGGCATCCTTTGGGAAGGCCTGCTTCGCCTGTTTGCCTCTGCTGTTGTTCTCTCATTTGAGTTGGCAAGAACTGGAGCATGTGTGCCTGGAGCAGTGGTTGAACGAATTCTGCCGTTCTGTACTCAAGACCGGTCGGTGGTCTCATGACACAAGAGGCAGCAACAGCTCATGCATGCCCAGGCCCCGCCCAATAGTAGGTGCTCACATACCCAGGCCAGGTCAGAAAAGGTCAGGCATCGGTCCAATTTCAGGCTCCTCTCAGTCATAGGCCATCCGGTCGGTGTAGTAGGTGCTCTAACCGGGCTGCTGGACATGCAAAAGGTGCTCATATCTCCAGGTCAGAGGAATTTCAGCATCTAAGGTCAGACCTAGGCATTTAAAAATTCTGCCATGGCGACCTCGTACGTTTCGCCGGTGACTCCGAACATGGTCTTGTATCGTCCGAGAAATTCGGGCGCACCTCGGACCCGGCTCACCGAAAACCAGTGGAATGATGCACTTTGGGTCGTGGCCAGGCTTCATTACGAATATTCAACCGTTTCACGAGCTTCTGGTTGTGGTTCCCGGAAGCCAAGGTGTCGGCCAAAATACGGGCGCTGGCACCAGACCTTTATGCTTGCCTCGTCAAGCTGGATGTTGATGTTTCAGGATGGATCGACGCTCGGCATTGGTTTAGCCAGGAGAGCTGTTGAGTCATAGTATGTTCACCCCTTGAAGTTGGATTTGACTAAGAACATCTTATCCTTGATATCGCATCCGTCCTCCAACGGGGATGCTCATGCTTTGACCTACAAGTTGGTGAGAGCCTTGTCTGCACTGGGGGTTGGGTGGCTTGCTAGGGTCTATTCCTTCGATTCCCTGAGGACAATTCCTCGACTACGACCAGTCGCACATTTACCAGGACGTCTCGAAGATAATATCGACCTACGTCAGGGAGAGAATGGAGCAGCTGTGTGCCTCGACATTGCATTTATTCATGAGGTCGCACAGCACCCCTATGTCTGTGTAAGTGTGTTTCAACCCGGCCCTGCCAGGTGAGCATCACATATGGTTTTACGGGCAGGACGGCCCAGTGGTCGGAGGAAAAGGCAAAGGCCAGCCGGGCCACAAAGGTGGCAAGGATGCTGGCAAAAAGGGCAAGGCCAAGGACGGTGGCAAGGACCAGCAGCCACAGGAGGAGGAGGAGCAAAAGCAGAAGCGAGCGCAGGAGGAGGAACAAAAGCAGAAGCGAGCACAGGAGGAACAACAGAAAAAAAGGGCACAGGAGGAGGAACAAAAGAAGAGGCAGCTGCAAGAAGAGGAGCAAAAGAAGAAGCAAGCACAGGAGGAGCAGAAGAAGAGGCAGCTGCAAGAAGAGGAGCAAAAGAAGAAGCGAGCACAGGAGGAGGAGGAGCAAAAGAAGAGGCAGGCACAAGAAGAGGAGCAAAAGAAGAAGCGAGCAGCACAGGAGGAGGAGCACAAGAACAGGCAGCTGCAAGAAGAGGAGCAAAAGAGGCAGCTGCAAGAAGAGGAGCAAAAGAAGAAGCGAGCACAGGAGGAGGAGCAAAAG